GCAACAGTTCAACGGCGGACCGAGTCGAACACAGCGAGAACAGGGGACGAAAATAGCCGATGGAGAAGATCGCATATATAAACGAACGGTTACAGACAGAACACTGCCACTTCACAAGCACTGATGATGTCACCTCGGCTGGTGATGAAACGTTTGCAAACAAATTGCCAAGCTCGGCGAACAGGCAAAATGGAATTCAGTTCACCCGAGCTACGAAAACCGATTTTCAATATTTTGTCAATAGCTGAGATTTCTTTTACTGAAGGTGGAGCGCAGCGATGATGTCGAGGAGAACGCATACGGAGGTTGAATTACAGGGCGATTGGGAAGAAGACTGAATTGTTCCACCCACCGAGACAATTTTCCTCCCGCAGCGGAAATGACCTCACCGGAGGCGCAGAGCAACACGGATTGGGTGACTAGTTTCTTGCCCGATGCTGATCGTAAAAGTTGGAAGAGGGTCCCCATGTTGCCCAGGCTGGCTGCTGTTTCCATTTCATTCCAGTAGTTGCATCTATCGTTTCTGGTCGATCAGGTTGTTTGTCGTCTGAGATCGCAACAGGCAGAGGATTGAGCTAGGTGGATCGCTTGCCGTATTAGCTAACTGGATGGTGCGGTTGGATAGCCCCCCCCCTTCAGGCGAGGTGAACCAGTGCCTGGTTTGTGTAGAGCAGCTTGTTGTGCCGACGACTTCGGTCTGATTCACCGAGCTTCAGCCGAACTCTTTGTTCTTGCTTGCGTACCGAAGGGATCGTGCAACAATTGTGCAGTTATCATGCTCATCACAGTCTAGCATTTCTCGCTGTCCTCAAACAGCATTTTGAGGGGATGATCTTCTTGCGAGTTGTTAGTCAGAATTTCGCGCGAACTAGCATATGCTTTGCGTTGTTTGATGACATCGTAGAACACTATTTATTTTTTCTATGAAATTGTTAAAAAAAAATAGATTGAGGGCAAACATGATGGGGTAGTTACCTACTGATTGAACGAGAGGAAGTATTAGCGTAGGATCGTGTATGTATCGGATATATTTGTTGTTACCATACATTTACCATTTCGAATGAATCGTCGGTTTAACCTTGTTCTGTTTCCATACGATTGTAATAGGTTAAAAAGAGAGAACGTTTGAAGCGTGTCATCCAGAAATTGTCTGCTAATTATGCCAACATGGAGAATGGACAGTGTATTTTACCGTTCCTCGCTTGCAGTCAAACTGTTCTGAAGCCAAATATGTGAAATTTTGAGGTGTTTTTTGTCGTATACTTTCCTAGTCTGTGTATATTGAGAATGTATATGCATGTCAAAGTAAGTCAAAATTGTCATTTACCTCCAACACACCCAGCAAATTTGGTGTCCCTCATTGTGCTCCCACTCAAATTCATCAGTGCTGGCTTTAGCGTTTGTCGATTGTATTGCTCACCTAGCACTTCTCCAAACGGAATAGGAATAGGAGTTGCATCAGTTCGTAAGGTTCCTCAAATCCGTACCCAGAGTGAGTGGAGAACCTATAAAAGTATGTTTGTTCGCAAACAATTGCCTCCCAAGGCCTCAGTATGGTTGCGAGTGGGTGTCTAGGGTTGCGGCTGGTCACCCCGCCCTTGCACCTCACGAAATGCCCCCATACGACCAAGCGTCTCAGATAGC